GTATGACCTTCGAGATGTGCAACCTTGTGACGTATCTTTTTTAGTGTTTTTGATTTCAGAATGTGTGCCTCAGAAGCTACGTTTTTTTTTATTGTTTCGCATTAAAACCGCTAAAAGCAGTGGCGGCAAGCTACAAAGCCACAGTGACATCAATATCACCAGCATGTCGACAGTGAGAACTGCGACGAACTCGGCGTTGCGTCTCTTGCGCTTTGTGGTCTTCTCGCCTCACTCCTGATAATCCTCGTTCGGAAGTTGAACTCAACGTTGTTCCTCACGCAGCGATAAAAATTATGACTGGCGCTTGGAGCGACATCAAGTAAAACACTGTCATAAACATTCCTTGAGGGCCACGTGACGCCTCTGGTTCGTCATGACCGCTGACAACGGCGTACCATGCCTCAGTGAATTCTGCGACTTATCAGCGTTTCCAGGCACCATCTCGGACAGTAGTGACTTCATCGGTACAGATGACAATGTTTCTGACTGCATCGATGCTGAGAATTTTGGCTGCCGTTGTTGGTGCCCTGAAAGTGTAGCCGTGCGGTTATGAATGTGCCAACGCCTTTGCTTTCGCTGCTAACCAAGCTTATGCCGTGCTACAAAGCTTGCGGTGGTGTTCTGCGTCCATAAACGTTGTGGCTAAAGGAGCCAAGTTCGCTTATTTGAAAAGCTTCAATGATATTAAGGATGACTCGAACTTGATGGCGTGCAAGAAGCAAGACAAGTTTACAGACTAAATAAAGTGTGGTAACCTGCAGTTCGCACTTTGTTTTTGAGCGAATCAGTTATGTTAGCTCTTGTAACGATTTCTGAGGCCTGAAATTCTTCAATTTAAGCCTTAAATATGCATATTTTGTATTTCGAACTCTCGATATATCGAACTATTTTGCAATCCCCTTCGAGTTCGATATATCCGGATTCGATATATCCGGGATCGCTGTATACATTATCGAACTGTTTACACATTCATTTTTCATTGTGAGCAAAGGTCGTGCGCGGAAACTTAAATGTTCTGCTTTTATGTGAGCATTTATGGACTGTGCCATTTAACCCCATGGGCTCGAAATGACAACGACAACAACAAAGAGAGAGGTGACAGTGGCACTGCTAGCGGCCGCAACAGTGCCATCACGTACGTAGCGCGCTGTGACACGCCGCCGGTAATGTTCACTGCAACTTTCCGCATTGTGTAGTCTGCAGTAGTCCGCACAGATGAAGACGGAGCAATACAACGCTGTTAAAAAATGACAACACCGCGAAGTCGGCGTTAAAAAACAACGCACTGCAACCTCCAGCATTCCTTCACCGGAGCGAGGCTAGATCACGTGATCCAACCACAGACGTCACAGCGATTGCAGCGCTTGCGCCTCCAGTGGTGGGCCTTGCGCCCAATATCAAGGGAAAGGCGGCGGAGCAGTTAATGTCGGTAGCCTGTCATGTGTGCGCTTCTGCCCACGGGAATGTAGGAAAGGCACTGTATGCCTGATTTTAGAAGTGCGTGCGAAGACATTTGGGTGGGTGGTCCGATGCTGATGGCCAAAGCGAAATGGTTTGCCGCTGCACTTGGTGAAACAAAGCGGATGGCTTCACCGATTCAAGCTGCGCTACAACATCGTTGGCAAAGCCATTTCTGGCTAAAGCGAAGCTGTCAACAGCCAGGACATCCAGCGGTAAATGACGAAAGAGTGGCTGGAAATCTCCGCAAAGTTTTCTCCCGTGGAGATTTTCAATGCCTGGAGAGACGTGGAGACAGACACAGTGGTCATCTGCTTCCGCAAGGCAGGCTTCAAGATGGCGGAACTTACGGAAACCAATGAAGGCGACGACGACGAGCTCATAGACTACTCATTTCGCTACTTTCAGTCCCGCTTCTCGGCAGCAGTTTCACACCAAGTGTCTGCAGATGACTTCGTGGATTCCAACGGCAATGTCCAGACCAACAGCTCTTGTAACAAGGAGTATCGTTCAGGCGAGGTGCTGGCTACATGCGCTTACTCTGCCGCTGAATTGGCGACAGCATCTAGCATCATTGGCCATTGTATCGGCCACATGGAGGGAACCGGGCTGTTGCACCTAACAGCCTTGATAAGATCGAACATTTCGACAAGATCGACGTCTTCAACATTTAAAAAACGAAGGAGCAGGCCAAGATTAGCGATTTTTTTAAAGTAAATAAATCAATATATTACGGCATGTGTGCGGAATTAGTTGTCATTCTTGAATGCGCCTATCGTATGTGATGATACACTACAGGTAAGCGCTTGGGGCCTCTATTTTTTATATTGTAGGTGACGAGACGGCGTTCGACGTAGACTTGCCGTTGTTATAGGTTAAATGAGCAGACTAAACGTACAGGAGGAAACGAGCTGTCGAAGTAGAGCAGCGGCTGTGGCGACCAGCCAGCTAGACGCACCAATGTACCAGGCGCCTCACGCCATGAGCCACCGGGGCTCGTCGTCTTTTTCTCTAGCCGACTGGCCGCCACTAATGATACGCTACAGGGGCTCCTCGCCTTGCGTGTTACGCAATAAAGAAGAACTGTAAAAAAAATGTAAAAACATATAAACATATACATTTGCAGCAATTCGTATGGTGTCCGAATGTCGTCAGGACAGAAGGCGTACAGAGCAGTCTGACAGTTCTGGTGGGCGACACTGGAATCCACGTAGCGAGCGAGGATTTCGATGATATTGCGTCGTTAGCAGCAGCGAGCAAAGCAGGGGGGATCGTTGGAAATGCTGGTGGCGAAAATAGTGCAAACATCGTGGTGTGCGTACTGCCAATCGTCGTGCGTTGTGGCTTCCTGAGAACAAACAACACTGCATCTTTCGACAACGCGATGCACATCCTGGGTGAACCACGAGTCGTGGGATGTGTATAGAACTGCTGCAACCCACCATCAAATGGTGACAAGATGACGGATGCGCAAAGGATTGGCTGTCCAAGACAGTGGATGGTATCCTGCTTGTAGGCTGGCACCCGGGCGTGTGGCGTGGCTCTTTAGAGAGGTGGGAGGAAATTCTCGCAGGCACGTGTGAAAAACCCTGGCTGCCATTGGAGAAGTCGTCTTTGGGCTGGCAGTCCAGAAGGGTTTGAACAGCAAGCACCGGTGTGCTGGGGAAACTTGTGGCGTGCATCGCCACAGCGGGCTCAGAGTCCATAGTGTGGGTGGTGTCGTAGGCCTCCACAGGTGCCGGAGCAGGCAGGGAGTCTGCAGGCAAGTCAGCTGGCATAGCTGAGATCGTCGGATCGCCCCGAGCAGACAGTGCAGCTGATCAGGGTCTCTACAGCCAATCCGACGGCGCACGAAGCAGCGGCCGGTGTCGAAACTGCGATGGAGTGAAGTGGCAATGCTTTTGTTGGAAGAACCGGCACATCGCAAGCAGGATCCGTCAACTCCAGGATAGTGGGTCTCTTGAACGACGGGTAGATTGGCGCGGAAGGTTCGTCTCTGTTACCTGTGTGGCCAGTTGTTGTCGGCAGAGGAACGTTCTGAACTGGCTGAGGTGCAGGAAACGTTCTAGAAGGTAATGAGCCAAATGTTGCTGTGTCACTTAAGGGAGTAGGAGCACGTTTGAGGTGGTAAAACCTGAGCACGGCATCTCGCGAGTCATCATGCGGGCGAGGGCTCCAGGAGAAGTATGTGCGGCGGCGTTTGAGGTCTAGTGGAAGGTGGTATTCCAATACCTCATACATGAACTCTTGGATCCAGATGGCGTTGCAATCCAAGGCCACCGCTAACTGCTTGAACCAAGACTCTAGGCGATAGGTCCGAAATGGTGGCAGTGGCGGGTCGAATAGCAGCTGCCAGGCTTGCGTTGGCTGGAATATGGCCGTGGAGCTCGGGGGCAGTTGTGCAGCGCAGATCGCTTGTCCGCCTGTCCGTGGTCACCAATTGTAGGTGACGTGCCATCGTCGCAGGTTAAATGAGCAGACGAAACGTACAGGAGGAAGCGAGCTGCCGAAGTAGAGCAGCGGCCGTGGCTTCCAGCCAGCTAGAAGCACCAGCCTTCCAGTCACTTCGTGCCACGAGCCACCAGCGCTCGTCATCTTTTTTTTCCAGCCTGCTAGCCGCCACTAGTGATACTCTACAATATCGAATTTTTCATCATCATCATCATCAGCCTGACTACAACTGCTGCAGGACAGAGGCCTCCCCCATGTTTCATATATCGAACTAATTAGTGATTCTCTTCGAGTTCGATATACCTGTGTTCGACTGTATTCACAAAAATATAACAACGCTCATTCATGATGCAGACAGGAAGCATAGCACTCTACGAAAATGCAACTCCTGGTTTTCTCATTTTCCTCATGAATTTGCACTGGCTTTTGTGGCTGCGTTGTACGAACAGGCCCAAGTTTTCAGCCTATTAGACATATCTAATATTGCCTATTTATTTATTTATTTATTTATTTGTTCAAAATATCTTACAGACCCAACAGGGCATTGTGTAAGGGGAGCATAAAAGAAATACATACACGAATTCGTACAATTTTCATACAAACAATAACATGAACTAATTGTCAATTATTATACAAGTCCTAACAGGAATAACTATGAGAATATATTAATAATAATTTTAATATGAATACAACGGCAATGAACATCAGATGAGTATACGTGTGAGATAATGACGTAAAACAAGTAAAAGAAAGCACAAATTGTGAATATACTTTACATTATTCAAAATAAAACATCACTGAATAAAACACAACAGAACTGAATGGCATGTTAGTATTCAAACCATCAAACAAAATAAGTTTAAATAAATAAGTTTAATAAGCATTTGTTGTAAATGAATGCTGAAATAAAGAATCAGAATCTATGCTAGAAAAATATTTAGGCCACTTGAATCGAGCGCACCAAAACGTAAACGGTGGGAGAATTGTGTAGGTTTGTATGCAGAAGTGAATAAAACGCAATCTTCTTTAACAGCCGGCTGGTTCTCTCTCAGCCCGAAAAAAAAACTTGGGACTGCCTAATTTTCTCGCAGCGAGCCGGCACGCCAAAAGCCTGACCGAGTCCGCCGAGGAGTACCAGTTGCGGCAAGTCAAGCGGACGTACGACGAGGTCGCTGTGGTTACGGGAGAGGAGAACGAGTCCAATGTTCTTCAGGTAAGTTATGTGCTACTTCAGAAAAAAATTCCAGCCAAAAAATGGGAAACACAGAAAACTAAGGAGGAGACAGGGAAGTGGCTAGATCTAGCCACTTTCCTGTCTCCTTGTTCGTTTCCTGTGTTCGTCATATCTTGGCTAGAATTTTTTCTGAAGCAATGCACCAACTAGCTCAACAATGAGTGTTATTAGATTATCTGCTGCTGTTGTTTTAGATGGCGTCACTTGCAATCAGTAGCTGCATTGTGCTGGACGATTAGTTGGCTTAAAGGGCCACTCACCAAGTTTGACAATTTTGAGCTGACAAGCGCAATGCGTACATAGGACGGTCACAATCACATCTGCTAAAATTGCAACGGCACACGCCACGGAAATGGGTAAAATCTCAAGATGAACGCTGCTCTTCCTTCCTTTCTCGAGCGCGCGCCCAGAAAATGAGGGCATGACGTACACGTAAGACTTGCCCTACGTACACGGCGGTGCTGCAGCGTTGGTCCTCTACTTAGACGACTATGCTCTGACGTTGACAACAGTAGCATGGGACATTGCGAAAATTATTTAACACGACATGTGTAGTTTATGTAATTTGTTGCTTGAATAGATAAATAAAACTTCAGATAAATAATGAGACGCAATAAGGGAATGTGTGCGTGTTTTCCATTTCGCCCCGTGAATCGCAACTAAATGCAGGGCTAATGTGCATGCATTTCGCATGTGTTCGTATTCTTGCGATTAGTGCGTCAAGCAGACGCCTGCTCTGGAAAAGAAATTAATGGTCCTGCCCGTTCAAGCACTCATCATGCTCATCGCCAGCGTTTCCAAATCATCCAGAAGAAACGGGCAGTAGACTACAAAATAACGCTGGTGAACAAAACAATGCCGCTCGCGTGCTCTGGGGTTGGGCCTGTTCAGGCACGTCTTGCACACGTGACCTCTTGATCGGATGCCGGAAGGGTAGGGAAAATATTTGGCTTGCGAAGGCTACGCGGGGCAGCAGCAAGAATTTCGAGCTTGTCTCCTCTCATCCTCATTTCGCGCTGCTTAAAAAAAACTGTTTTCTCAGATTGTATTAAACCGATCGAAAAAATTTTTGTGGCATAACGCTCCTCATCGGACACACCTCACATTTTAACTAAAATTTGTTATGGGGCCTGGGGAGTGGCCTTTTAAACCACGCAGTATGAGTTTGCATGATTTCACGTCATTACCTGCGCTGTAGTATGGTGCAGCTTTCTGTTCTTAGAAGTCTCATTGCCTGCGCTTTTTCTTTGACGAAAGAAAAAGTGTTTGAAGTCTCATCGAACTTGTAGCAGAAATTCACTCGCATGACATCGCAGTATTTTTTTGGGGGACAACTTGGTACTGTGTAAGTTGTGTGAAAATAGTAGTGTATGTATGTTTCCAATATCCTGTTATGTTGCTCCCATCTTGCCTCTTTCTTTTTGTGTGGTATTTTAACCTCTTACAGTCAAACCTTGTTATAACGAAGTTTAAGGGGGAGTCATAAATACATCATTACATGCATTAGTTCGTTATAGCCAATATCCATTTCTAATGACAATTAGTCAGCAAGAGAAAATGTACTCGCCAGTGAATATTACAGCTGCCCTCTGACAAGTAAAAAACAAGCAAAAAATAGCACTTTATTTCGGCTGAATTCAGCGCGCCAGCTGACAGATCAATTCGAAGAAAAATAGTACTCAATAGACTTTTGCCGACTCTTCCACACATGGATCACTGCTTTCTGAGCTGCAGCAGCTATTTCGAGTCCGTCCTCACCATCTTCGTAAGCACCAAAGAAGTGGCACAGCAGGTCTGTCGCATCCAGCACTTGCGCTGGCATCGGTACATCGGGTTTGCCAACATTAGGCTCTCGGGTGTCGACACATTCATCACTGTCGCGTTGCACGCCCGTCACCGCGAGCACAATTTCCGCATCTGACAACTCTTCGGTTGTCACCACGTCAGCATCGGCACCGACGTATCTGCAGAAAGTGTTGCAGTCGGGCACAACACCGGCATAAAGAGAGCGTCCCACAACATCTGGGCCTGGTCGTCCGCGGCACCCACACATCGCCAAAATCTTCGGCTGCTATTTTTTTTTCTTAATGCCAGACTCAAGGGCTTTCAACATTGCTGATTTCTGCTCGATTGTTATATTTTTGCGCTTACGTTTGCCGCTGCCATTGTCCATCTCATGTCTAGCAGCGGAAACTGATAGAGGTGGTGTTCCTCTTCAACAGCGAACAACAAAGAAAAAAAGCCACAATCTCCACCGCCGTGGCGGCGCACGAGGCTCCAGCTTGGAGCTGAAGAGGAGGAGGAGGTCAGGTGCGCGAGTGGGTCAACAAGTTCTACAGGAGAGGGGAGGCCGGCTGATGGGCACGCTCGCGCGAGTTGCTACGCGGGCGAGTTCATTAGTTCCAGAGGAGAAGGGAAGCAGGGTGACTTGCTCCCACATGCGTGTTGCCCGGGAAGCGCAAGGCGCGAGTTTTGAATTACCGCGGCCGTGATGAGACGTAAACAGTGGCACGCTATAAGATATTGAGAATTGACGTATACGAAAATGATCAGTAAATGCTCATTGTAGACGAGGAATGGTTCGTTATATACATTGTGGGGAAATTTTTGCTTCGTTAAAATGAGGTTTTAAATATATGGGCGTCTATGGGAATTTCAAGGGGAATTACAATTGCTTTGTTATATTCATTAGTTTGTTATATTTTGCTTGGTATAACGAGGTTTTACTGCATTTGCATTGATGTATGCAGATCAACTGCAAGCTGTTCACCTTCGACAAGACAACAAGTTCTTGGCAGGAGCGAGGTCGTGGCAGCTTACGATTGAACGACCAGGAGGTCGATGGCGTGCTGCAGTCAAGAATGGGTACGTATTCTCACCTGCGTAGTGTTAAAGGGACCCTGAAATGGTTTTTTAAAGCTTTGTCAGCATTTAGGCCAGAGCGTCATCAAACCATATGCACCACAAATTTAGTGACATGCTGTGTATCAAAACCGCTGCAGGCAATTATGTCATACCCACCTTTTCATTACTGTCTTGCATTCCTCAACTCATGCGACACGCTGGCAATCACAGAGCTCTCATGAGTGCACTCGACAGTTTGAGCTTCGCCCAGTCTAGACCTCAGAGGTTGTATGCCGGCCAGTTGCGCGCAGTCTCGGAAGCCATTACACAGTGCGCCTAGCAGCACGCACGCTATCTGGCAACAGAGACTAAGGTCGCAGAGTGCTTCGTATTTGCTCCGACAGGTGCCGCCACCTATCAGCCCATCTTACTTCACGCATTCCACACCAATCAGATTAGCAGCGTGGGTGCCCTCGCGTTACCAGTGCATGTTGTTCAGTGAATGGTTGGTTGAAGACGAATTTGGCTTCGTTGCAAGGAGCTGCAGCGATTCGCCGCCTAAATTACACAGTTTACGCAGAGAGCTGAAATCAGTCTGCAAATGACCCTTAGGATTCAGTCTACTGCCTCAGTGTGTTTGTACTACAAGATCGTCAAAGTCGTTTCAGCGCCCCTTTAGCTTGAAAGCACCATCAAAACTAGTCAAATTTCTTGAAACCTCTCGCTGTCAATGTTGAAAAAGTACATTTTCGCATTTTCTGCTACTGTGTCACTGATTTACCGATGCAGTCTGCGTGGTGCGCGATTCTACTAGTTGTGCCATCTTTAGGTTCTTTCTGAAAGCACATATCCTTGCCCCTCGCTGTGTTGGTATGTATAGTGAAAAGTACGGAGCGACTGCATCCACCCGCTTCTGCTGGCAGGCATGGTCTCTCCACTCATATTGCTTTCTCGATCTGAGTGACCACGCAGTACACACGTGATTATGGTTACAAGAGTTGCTGTGCCATCTGAAGCAGGTTTGCAGGTGCTTTTTGCATTCTACTGGTTTGCCTTCTACAATGGATCAAATTAAGGGGCACCTGCTGTGGCCTCTCTAATAGGCCCACTCATGAAAGACTGTGATTGCAGCTTTACTTGCTGCTGTCTGCAGCAAACAAGGTTGTTGTATCGCCTATCTATCCTTATCTGTCATTTTGATTTCACACATGCCGTTTACTACACTTCAAGCTTTCATGATAAAGTCAAACCTCAATATATCGAACACGGATATATCGAATTATTGCCTATATTGAACGGTTCCTAGATCACGCGGTAAATCGCATGCATTATTGATTTTTTATTTCGAACAAAGTTTGACATATAATGGATATATCGAACTCAGCCACCCCAAACCGCCCGCGCTCCATTGACAGGCGGCGAGCTTTCCCGCAACTCTCGAAAGTAGCGGTAGAGCGGCGGGCGTTTATGAATGCCGCACACATCGATGGCGCCGAGAGCGCCACTTTAACATAGCAGCGTACGCACGTCGCAGCCTTGCGGTAGAGGTTCTTGAATGAGGAAAGTGAAGAGAAAAGCGCGGAGCTGTTATTGTCTTTCAATATGAAGGCACCGACACGGCTTCGCGCGGGGGAAGGAGTAGTGGGAGGTAAAGATTGAGGTGGAAAGTATAGGAAGGAAAGGACGCAGACGACTGTCTTGCATGCGGCCCGCGCTGCCGCCGGGAAAGGGAAAGCAGTCGGGTGAGCCGGCACGGGCGCGCCATGTGCGCGCTTTACACCCGGACTCACGCCGCAGCCTTGCAGCTTGCAGTCGTTGCAGTCTCTATGGTGTCAACGGCACACTGCGCACTTGTTGCAAGCTCCTCCCCCGTAGCATCGGTTGTCGTGCTCGCAGTGTTCCTGCTTTCGGAGTTAGGCCTGTCGCACGCTGTGGTGCGCAACAGGCCTAACTCGGAATGGCGGAGCTCATGGCAGAGCTCACGGATGTGGAGATTGTCGCCGAAGCTACTGCTGAGCAGCCAAATAAAGACTGCCGAGGTGGATCCCGCAAGCGCTGATGGTGCCCCGCTCCCGACATCAACTGAGGTCGTAGCTGCCTTGGCCCTTGTGCGCCGCCACTGCGGCGCGATTGAAGGCACCGGCCTATCACTTATGGATCGCCTGGACTATATTGAGGACTCAGTCGTCAAACACGCCATGGCCAACAAAAAGCAGGCTACTCTTTTTCAATATTTTAAACCAACACAATAAATACTATGTTTGAATCTTCAAGTGAGTATTTAATGCACCACGCTTGAACTGTTCGTTGGTTGTTTTCAGCAAGCTGTTGACACATTTTTTTCGTGATTTTTTTGTATCGAATTCTGGATATATCGAACTACTTCGCAATCGGCGCGCCGTTCGATATATCGAGGTTCGACTGTATTCCCTAAACCGAGCTGACATTGCGGCAATGTCATGGCCCGACACACCCAACAGTGAAAATATTCAGTGTGGAACACACCTGATTCTGCAAGATTGTTTTATTTCTGCTTCGTGCAATCTCTGTGATTCCTTTCGCCACGGTGCCTCTGTGCGATAGGCAACTTGTGATGCATTTGGCTGATCGTGCACTCTGCTTTCATGGGGCCAATTTTTTCAGAGCACAGTGCACTAGCACAGGAGTGCTTTGAGACACCTTGACCTTTGACCTGACTGAAATCTGGCAATGTTCTGGTCACGTAATTTGTATCGCTTTCATTGTTGGCATAATGCACCTTGTTTGCAACAGCCACGTTCAGCCATGACATGCATCCTCTGGCTAAAATCAAGAGTTGGTTCTGCATTGTCGCAATACAAGTTGGATCTTGGTAGCGACCAATTGAATGTGCATCACCCTGAAACGATGATGGCAGTTTTGTACAAAGTCAATTAGCCATTAAAGCAAGTCGATAGTACGGAGTAAAACAAGAAAGGAGGGCCGACTCCGCTAGTCTGGAAGGGACCTATTTTTAAACGCCCCTTCACGCTTCACTACACGTTTGCCAGATGGCGCTACGAATAGAGAATCGCAATGAAGGAGAAACGCTGTCCTCTAACAGAGCCGCGGGCAGGGGCTCCGTCTCTCGTTGCTATAGCAGCTTCATGGACGCATGCTTGGCGGAGTTCGCAGGTCCGCTTGCCTAATCCGTTTTGTCGTCTGCTATGCACATGCCGTATGCCTGCTACCAATTTTTTTTGTAGAGAGCATAACTATTGCAGCTTGTGGATTGATGTCGTGAGAAGAAATAACTCAATTTATTGTTTCACTTCATTTATTCGAAACAGGCCAAATGCCCAACATCTTTAATGTAGACAACACAGAAGTATACAATGCCACTACAACAAACATAAATACAGTCGAATATCAATAATTTGAGCATGCTTTATTTGAACTTCCAGTTAATTAGAACTGATGCTGTAGTCCCATCAAAGCTTTGTATATTCGAATGGGTGAAAACCCCTGGTAATGCGAATGGGCAAGCATTTTCGACAGTAAATTTGAACATACCGCGCTCCAAAAATGCTCTCAGCACTCTGCTCAATCCGGCAGTGGCACCTCCAACACTGCAACGCTGGGTGCGAAGAATGAAAAGAAGAAAAGGAAAGAAAAGCCCGCGGCGGGATGTTTGCTCTTTCTTGAATGTCGATCTGCGATGTACTTATGCCACGCTTCTCTCTTTTCCATTCCTGCCACGTAGAGACCCTTCTCCTTACAATGCCGCACACGAAGAGAGAAAGGGGGAAAAAAAAACAGAAAGCTGTCGCGGGCTCTCTTTTTCAAATGCTGATCTGCGACGCGCAGGTGCCACGCTTCCCCCTTTCCTGTCCCTGTCACATAATGACCCTTCTCCTATCAACGCCGCACGCGAAAGGAGGAGAAAAAAAAAAGCTGTCGTGGAATGTTGGTTCTATCTCAAATGCCGATCTGCTTCTCTCTGCGTGGAGACGCTCCTCCTTTCTCGTCATGTGCTAGCCACACTGCTGCTGCGGCGCAGAGGGTAGCAGCAGAGACGCAATCTTTGTCGTCGTCTTTAGAGAGTGTTCGTGCTGGACATTGCTGCGCGCAACTTCTCTTGCCAGGAAAATGCTGTAGCCGAAATAGAAATGCTTTGCCCCGCCACGGTGGTCTTGTGGCTAAAGTACTCGGCTGCTGACCCGCAGGTCGCGGGATCGAATCCCGGCTGCGGCGGCTGCATTTCAGGTGGGGGCGGAAATGTTGTAGGCCCGTGTGCTCAGATTTGGGTGCACATTAAAGAACCCCAGGTGATCTAAATTTCCGGAGCTCTCCTCTACGGCGTCTCTCATAATCAAATGGTGGTATTGGGACGTTAAACCCCACATATCAATCACTCAATGAAATAGAAATGCTTGGCAAACTGCATGTGAAATTGACTCGCTGCAAGGCAAACCTGTGCAGACGCGCATCGCCGATTACTTCAATAATGACGGATGTCCTGTGATTTGTGAATAAATGTAAGTCGTCTGAAACTTCCCCTTCGTGTGTTAGCTCAGTGCACATGCGTCACTGCATGGTGAGCGTTCCGTTCATTAGCTTTCATTAATTCAAACTTCTTTTAATACGAACAAATTTTTGGGCCCCTTTGACTTAGAATTAACGAGATTCGACTATATAACATATACATAAACTTAGTGCATGAGTTAACACAAAGCATGGTATGTAGAGTAACGTAACCAAAATTTTAACTTTATTGACAAACATGGCTTCTTAGTACATAAACTAACATGACAAGAAAAACTAGGAAAGTGGTCCGCAATGTGCAAACGAAACTTGTGATGAAGAGGTGGTGTTTGTCACTTCTTTTCTTCGCTTTCATTAAGGGGAGACACGGGTCTTTTAGAGCAAAAAATTGCCAAAAAATCAATTTTTTAAAATATTTTTTTTCGAAATCTCGACGTCCAAAAGAATCTATTGCTGGAATATTAACGCTTTTCAATTAGTATTTATTTTGCTATTGCGTTCTAAAGAGATCTTCATGATCACTCTCGCTCGAAAACGCCCTCCAAAACGGGCAATTTCAATGCCGTCGTCTGCGGTAACGTTAGCCGCAGCACGGCCATTTTGGAATCATTCGAAAGCTAAATGCTTCAGCAATCCGGTTTTAGCGAGAAAACAACTCTAAGTCTGGCGACTATGGAGCTACACGCCACCGAAAAGGAGGGAATACTCGCACGGCATTGGCGCGTTTATACCACGTGGGGCAAATCCTGCTCTCCGATTGGACGACCGAAATTTCGTCTGCCCGACTGTGTGCAACAATGCGCGACACCTTGTCACAAATTGTTCTGACGCGACGATGGCTGGCGGGCGACGCAAATTCGCGACAGCTCATGCCTACGGCAAAAAACGCAAGCGTCGGTCTCGGATACCTGAAGCAGCGTCGAGTGAATCGACGGCGACGAGCTCCGCGACATGCGCCAGCGAGTGTACGATATCCACCGAAGCTGCAGCCGTGCAAGCGATGCCTGTGGCCGACGACACGAGGACAACGCGTGTCGATACGCATTTTGTGACAGAATGAGGAAAAAGTGGCAATTGAGCATCGCGCAGAAGAGCAACGACAGAAGCTGTCTTCGTTATCAGCTACCCGCCGAAAGCGGTCGCTTATCGGAGATTCCCCGGAAGCGGCGGGGTTCGGCACCGAGTTCACGCTGCTAAGCCTACCGCTGCTGAACCAACTGCTTCGGTGCGCGAAATGCGAATTCTGCTCTGGCCCATTGAACGTTTCACGGGGCGACCGTGAGTACGGATTGGCAGTTAGAATAGTGGTGAACTGTGCCGTCTGCGGAGATGTCAGCGCCAGATGGAGCTCGCCGAGAGCAGGGGGGAATGCGACCTGCAACCCTTTCGAAGTAAATGTGCTTGCGGCTCGTGCAGTTATGAGCATGGGAAATGGGCAGACCGTGCTAAACGACATTTTTTCGGCCCTGAATGTGTCTCGTCGTGGAATGCACAACAAAACGTACCAAGACTACGTCAAAACCAAGATGAACCCTGCCGCGATGAACGCATCCGCGGGTATTATGAGCCAGTGCGCAACAGCTGTGAAGGCCATCTATTCTGAACTGAATTTCGGGAACCCCGGCAATATCGCAGTTTCCTACGACGGGACTTGGCTAACTCGTGGCCACTTGTCACACATTTGTGTGGGAACTGTAATAGAACTGTTTTCGGGCTATGTGTTGGACTTCAAAGTTCTCGCGAACTTCTGTTTGGGTTGCGAGATTGGCCCCAAGGACGACGACCCTCGATACAGTGAGTGGCGAGCTCGGCACAAGTGCCAAAAAAACTCTTCGAGCAAGCCTGGCCAGATGGAGGTGGAGGCTGCCAAAATTCTGTTTCGCCGGTCGCTCGAAAAGCATGGGTTCCGCTACACAACGATGTTGTGCGATGGCGATAGCCGCGCTTTCAACAGCCTTCAGGAGGAGCAAGTGTATGGCTTCGTGGCTATCGAAAAGGAGGATTGCATAAATCATATACATAAAAGGATGGGTGCTGCACTGAGACACCTCCTGCAGAAGAGCAAGGGGGAAGGTCGGCCAAGCCTCGGTGGCAAAGGAAAGTTCACCGCTGAGCTTGTAACGAAGCTTACAAATTATTATGGTTGGGCACTCAAGGCACACCAGGGAAACATCGATGAGATGGAGAATGCTGTCCTTGCCACTTACTATCATGTGACTTCTACTGATGCAAAGCCACAACATTCACGGTGCCCAAAGGGAGAAGACTCATGGTGTGCCCACAACAAGGCAGTGGCAAGGCAGCAGGCTCCTCCTAAGCATCGGTACGACCTCCCGGAATATGTTGCAGAAGCGCTCCTTCCAGTGTACACTCGCCTCTCAGATTGAAAGCTGTTGGAGCGCTGCCAAAGAGGCAAAACTCAAAACTCGAATGAGAGCCTCCATTCAGTGATCTGGTCGCTTGTACCAAAAACCAAGCACGCCTCGCTCTTCACAGTCGAAACTGCTGTTGCGGAAGCGGTTGCTCGGTTCAATGCTGGAAAGAAACGTGCTTCTGAGGCCATTTTGAAGGAGCTGCATTTGAACCAAGGCAACACAGATGTTGAAAGATGTCTGGAAAAGGACCAGCAGCGGCTAGCGGCATGTGACAAAAAGCATACCAGAGCAGAAGACTTCAAGAATGCCATGAAGAAGAGGCGTGTGAAAGAGAGTGATGGTGATTATAAGCCTGGTGGCTTCTAGAACAAAAAGGACTCCCATCTGTTGCTTTTTTGGCAAGAATTAAACCTATATATAGTCTTCAAACTTCTTTTTGTGTTTTCTCAAAATCAGTTTTTTGCCTATGTGCTATACTGTTGCCCACAGTATCTTTTGATCTAGTGATCAGATTTCAACGATTCTTGTTGCAATTGACAGCTTACGAGTTCCTATACACAATAAGACAACTAAAATTTATATTTAGTCAAGAGAAAATTTTTTATGTGCTGATAAATCTCATAAAAATTCTCATGTTTCCAACCATTATATTACATATGGCAATAACTTTTATAAAAATAGAGCTAAAATTACAGTGATAGTATAGTTGTGATCCTTGATTATTCTAGACTATGTCCATATAAAGTGTTCAAGGATATTTAATGATTAAATTGCAGAATAATTGGGCAATTCAATGATTCATTATTTATTCAATATCTCTAAAACTACTCGAGATAAAAGAAAATGGATTGCATATGTCTTCACAGCAGGTTAAAAGATACATTGCCTGAAAATTTCATTTGAATATGACAATAAAGAGAAAATTTTTTTAGAACACCAGAGTCTCCCCTTAAGTGCGGAGATGCTTCACTTGCTTGTTTTTTTTCTCTCGATGCTTTCTGCGCCACTGGGCTCTCTTGCAAGCAATATTTTTGCATTTTCATGAGAACGTAGTATTGCAGAATTCCTGCTAAGACTTCTTCATTGTGAGCTTCACGAGACAAGCTGAAACTGTGTGTCCCCAGCACATGGTAATTCGTTGCCTCATAAACATTAGGCGACTTTGCTATTATAAGAAAAGTAGTTCTCGGCCGCATGCAACAGTTTGTACAGATGCATGTTTGAATACATTAATCGGCCGTGTGTCTTGGTGGCACTGAGACCAGAAATGTCTTCTTTAACGGGCTGCAAATTTGAACCACGTGCGCCCCTGCACATTTCACAGTCAGACTTTTGGCGGAAATTTTGTGCCACATATCCAGCAATGAAGTCTATTATGCAGTCAATTATGGCAGGATTGTCCTCTGTCTAGGGTAAAATATCTTCACATTCCCAAAGGGAACGAAACGTGTGTTGGAGGGCTAGTTGGTTAGACCTGTGTGTGCCATGGAGGAGACAGATATCTGGTATAAAGTACTTTTCGAAGTGTCGAGCACACATTAAATGTCTTTGAATTTCAGCAGTCGCTTACTCACAGGTACTTTTTGACGCCACTGATCCAGTAGCTTCGGATCACATGGGGCCGCGGAGAGTGGAATCTGCTCCCACCCTTCGCCATAACCACATTTGCATCTGAGAACAAAACCCTTCATTGCGCCCTGCTCGGTTGCCCCCCATCTTGACACACAAGTACCAAGATGCCTTGTCCCTTCAAGCGTGAATAAGCACACTGCAGACATTTTAAATAAAGGTTGTAACACGAAAATGTCCGACCAACACTACCACGTCCAGGCATGAAAAACAAGTGTACGTCTGCTCTGCTGTTTTTGAAGAAGGTTCGGAGGGGACGAATAAGCATAATGCGGAGAAGACGCGGTGGATAAAGTGGTTACAATTGAGCGCAGCAAAAAAACTGCCGTCGCCGCGCAGCGGCACTCTGCTGCTTGGCGCTTCACAAGCATATCAGAGCGGTTTTTTTTTTCACACCTGAATGAGAATTTTTGCCCGCGTGAAGTATCATACAACCGTAGTTTGCCATCGAACGTTGGTGCCAAATAATCATATTTTCTGGGAACATATTAGCACATTTCTAGTTTTCGCGATTTCGAGCGTAGGAGCTGGATAATCATAATAAGCGGGAACATATCAAGGAGGTTCTACTGTCTCTGCAGTTTACATGTTTGGATGTCAAAAAATGTTAACCTATAATATTCCTTCTTCCTGTTTTGCAGTAATGCGAACACAGGGCAGCTTGCGTGTCATCCTGAACACCAAGGTGTGGTCTGGAATGGTTGTAGAGCACCCTAGTTCAAAGACCGTCCGCACGTCGGCCATCGACCCCGACGGAATTCGTGTCTACCTCATTCAGGTGAGCAAGTTGACCTGTGATGATCACTTTGGTAGTTTCACAATTTGTCATGACCCGCTGTCGTAGTTTAGAGGCGGTGGTGTTGCACAGCTGAGTACAAGGGCACTGGTTTAGGCAGTCAGGGAATATGTTAGCCTGTGAAAGACTTGATCAGTCATATGTTGTGACTTGGTTTTTCAGGCTGGTATGAATGTAGGTGCACGCTAACCCCTTAAGTTCTTTCCTGCCCAAACTGCCCCCAACTGCTTGCAACAAGCAGAGCTAATCTTGGTAGCATAGGTATTCCCCTGTAGTGTCCAGGACGAGGAGTGCCCGTCTACAGCTTAGATGACGTGTTCATCCACCAGATGGCAGCATCTACCCGATGATTTAGTTTTCTGTTGTGGCAGGAGTGCAGTTGTATGAAGAGGTGGCATACTGTAGCATGGATCCATGCATAGCTGGTCGGCCAGCACAAAAAAGCTTTTGATCTTCTTCGGGTAACGATGATTTGGATACAGATGTTTATCTTGTGTCCGCAAGTGAAGACAGTGATGATGGTTAATTGAGCTACTTTTCGGATGATGATGAAGAAAGTTCAGAAGCGAACCTTGCGAGTGTTTGCCAGTGTGGACACTTTGTGATATCCTGTGTTTTGAAAATTTTCACACAGTCCCAAAGCTTCCCGAGTGAAATAGCCCAAGAGTGCTTGGGCTACTCAAGTGAAGGAAGATGTGGCGTGTGCAACTGTCTTGTTTTTAATGTTTCTATTTTTATTAGCAGCAGGTAGCTGGATTTTTACGTATTGTTCTGAAATGATCTTTATTCTGTAGATTTCACTAAGTATGGACTAAAATATTTTTTCAACATAGACTACCTACTTTTTAGTACAATCAGATTCGAAATCACTGGCTCTGTCGGACCAGTGCATTCTTCACGTGTATTCAAAAATTTACATCGCAGTGCAAAGCTGGCATGTTTTCCGAAATTCTACTGGTTGCATTATTGGTCTAATCTTTTTAAAGGTACTTACTTTTGCTCCTTTCTTTGTTAGTATGTGTATTGAAGAGCAACTGCGCCTACCCGTTTTTACTGAGGGGCTTGGTCGTTCCACGCATGCTACTTTTTTTAACTGAGTGACCATGTAGTGTGCACGCGACTACGAACCTGAGGGTTTTTCTACCATTAGCCTCAGATTTTCACCTGCTTTTTTTTTGCATTTTGTTTTGTGTGTGTTATGGTGTGTTCAAGTTCAGAGGTGTTTACCATTGCCTCTTAAATTCAACCAAACTGCTACTTGATCGCTGCTTCCGCTCGCTTGCCGCTGCCTCACTTGTTGCTATCAGCAGGGAATGAGGTTGTGTTCTCTTTCCATCCACCATTTTCCTGTGCATCAAGCTTCCCTGGTATTCCCAAAAATAAGCCGACACTGGGGGTGCGTCACGGCCAAAAACACCCAACAGGAGAGGGGGGGGGGAGGTAATAGAAGCTCTGTCAGCTAAGAGGCTATTTTCTGTTGTTTTAACATGAAAGTGTTTTATGCTGGGGTCGACCCCGGCTCTGCTGATGTACTCATCACGGAAGTGATGTTGAAAAATATATTCTAAGAAATTGTGAAGAAAAAATCAAAAGGCAAACATCTGTCACGCAGAGTCGAACCAGCAAGTTCTCGATTCTCAGCACTCGGCGCTTACCACTACACCACTAAGCGTACGTTTCTGGAGTGCTAACGGCAAGGCATTTATATACACCATACACAATTTAGCAGTTCTCAAAGCTTCGAAACTTTAGCGCGTTTTCGTTATCAGCGGCGAGATCGCGATGGTCTTGCGTTTCGACGTGCTCTCAAGATCACCGCCTCCACGAAGCGCCGCCCCCACAATCCCACAGAGCGCGCTCTCTTTTGCGCGCGGGCTTGTCAGGCTCGAAATTTAGGAGAAAACGAAGGTCATTTTGCTCTCGGCTACGACCGCGTTTACGAAAGGAGCGCGCTGCTGACACATGACACAGGAAGAATCGTGACAGTTGTTAGTCTCCACTTGTCCTGTATATGCTAATTTCATGCATGCTTTCTGCTTGAGGTGTGCGCTTCAAGTTTTTAGCCGCTTGGTGTTCGTAGCGCGACTTTATAATTTGTTGCTGTTGCTGCAAAAATGCACAGTAAACGCTCAACTACCTCTGTAAGGACACGTTTCACTTTTGTGTTATATTGATTTCTATATAGGGGGATCAGCCACGTTTTTACCTGTCTGGCAATCTGCGAAGAATTCGGTAGCCGATGCTTTCAAGCACATTCTTGTCTGCAGTTCATGTTGCAGGCTTTCCGAAGCTAAAAGCACGAAATTTCGGTTGTTAACCCTATTTCATTGAAACTTCAGAAGTCGGACAAAGCAGCGGATGATGATGGACAGTCTTGTAAGCGAAAGAAAGAAAGGCAATGGTGGGGATAGCAAAGCATCAACTTGCGCTGGTCAGTACAACATTTAAATCTAAGAAGCAAGTAAGTGCGCAAGCACCTACTTGTTCTTTCACTCAGTACAACATTAGAATAGTATAGACAAAAGGGACCTGCATTTCGAACTCTAGACAAGGTCATCAGTGCTATGGGCTTTGTGCATTTTTCGCTGTGTGAGCCCTCAATTCTTGCCAGAGTTCAGTGCGTATACACTTTTTACACCAGAGGTGAGTTGCTTGAATATTTTAAAGGGATTATGACTTACACTTATGGCAGGGTCTCAGTGCTTAAACTTTAAACATTTCCACAACATGCATGAGGAGGACAAATCGTGCATCTTTGCAGGCAAACGCCAAGGACGCCGAGCAGCTCTACAGTGCACTCGAGTGCCGTGTCGCATCGCTCAAGGCTGCAGAAGACAGCGGCACTGGCGTGTCACCTGTGCCAGCAGCCATGCAGGGACTGCCGCCCTCCGCGGACAGCTCGTCGTCATTTCCAGAGTCTGTGGGAAGCTTGGAAGACGACGGAGCACCGCAGTCGAAACGACCGCGTCTGCAGGAGTCGGACGGCAGTCTTCCAGACAGCAGCCACGGAGAGGACTCGGTCGCAACGGCCGAGTGCGAGAGCAGTGCAGAAGACAAGGGATAGGCGTCCTCTCTGGGACCGTGAAAACGTCCTCGGACAAGGCAGTGGGCGACGAGGGTGGGGTTGAAGCAGTGAAGCCATTGCTGTCGTTTATGTTGTTTGGGACTCCCCAACGGTTCGCGTTGTGACGAGGCTCGATTGGCTCGAAATTGGACGATTCTTGCCTGCGCGGCTTATATTCCTGGAGGGAACTACAAGGTCTGCATGGGCCGTGGAATATTGCGAAGCCATTGCCTGGATTTTGAGTCCAGACTTCAGCAGGAGCAAACAGGCACCAGACCGAAGTCTATAATTCTGCTGCACTATTATGAAGACGTTGTCATTTGATTCGTACTGGATTTTTGCAAGCTTCTTTTTTTTTAGTATAGCATCAGCATTGAAATCTTCACAGTCGTAATGCATGAACAAGCTGTATTTTTTCTTCTTCCTTCAGGCTTGGGAAGTCTCTGAGAGGATGCCATTCTTTGTTGACTATTTTCAGAGGTGCTTTCAATGTTGTTCATTCGATGCCCAGCGGGATGTTTCACCTAAGGGATAGGCACCCTTTCTTGATGGCTTAACCAACAGGCCTGTAACCATCAAAAGCTTGATCTCTAAACTAGGTTGATACAGGATGCAACTGCAGTCTTGACCACACGTTAGCACAATGGCGGCGCTTTATTTTGCAGCATTTCTTGTACTATGCAGCGTTAACTTTTTTTCTGCTTGTTTTACTTTTTTTACTTCATAGTTGCGTAGCATGAAATCTGCACTAGTTATTACAGCGTAGTGTCGTTCGATTTGCACAAGCCTAGTACACGAAACGTGGAACACATAGTTCCAGCAGGACATACGGATGCAAAGGGACTGCCAAACGAATGCACATGCAAAAGATATGTGCTAAGTACTTGTAGTGTGGAGGAAATCTGCATTTGACATTCAGCTGCAGTCTGGCTACAATGTTCTCAACTGTAGCAACCCTTAATAAAACCACTGCCCCGGCGAACTCAACGTTATGGAAGCCTGCATGTCATCTTGCTCACTGTCTATAGTACTTGCAAGCAGGCTAACGTAACATAAAAAGTGACATCATCCAGGGTCAGGCGAGCAGGAGTAGGTTAAAGGAGCACTGACAAAAAATTTCTGCACCTCTCTCTCTCTCTCTCTTTTTTTTTTTTGCAATAGGTAGGCTAGACCTACTTATCATGGCTGAAAACCTCATTTTGGCGAGTGTGCGACAGCTTATTTATTGAGAGACATCTTTAGAGCACCCAGCCTCAGCTTTGGTCTCGAAGAGGCCCAAGCTAGGTAGGAGCAGTTCCAGGGGCAAGGTAAACACATCTGGCCATGTGACCACGCAAAAATGTAACGTGGGTGCTGCGTGCGCGAGCGAAAGCCGTACTGATAGCCAGCACACGCGAAGCCGCAGTCATGGAGGCGAAATCAAAGGTAGCACAAGGCATGTGCCAGCAACCAGCCAACACAGACTCATGACTCAGGTTTGTTCATGTTGCCCCTGCGTTAATGTCAGCGTGGCAAGGCGCCCCCGTCTCTCAGTCATGCGGCATGCGCTTTAAATTTAATTTAAAATATATTCTAGGCTACACTTGGCCTTCATATCTCGAAGGCGTTGTGTATGTCTGGACGTAAATCTATCTCGCTCAATACCTTGCCTTCGAAATTTTGCGTCGGTGTTCTTTTTATGTCATCGTTGCTCCCAGTTTTCGTCGTTTCTGTCGGTGCGTTCGACCATGAGTGTTTGAAGAAAGGCGAATCTTAAACCGGGTAGCACTCGAAGCCATACTTCCAAGCATGCGCGAACGGTCCTCACGACGGCTTGTGCCGTCGTGACAACCAGTAATAACTAGTACAATGGCCTGAGATGCCGTTTCTCTGTAAATTTGTGCAGGATTTATGGCAAGAAAACCGTTGGGGGTGTTCAAAACCCACAATGCAATCTTTCCCATCCCTTCCTGCTGTTTTGGTTTGGAGTTGCATTACTAGTGTAATTGCCTTGCTGGACTTTTTTTTTTCGTTAATGCACTTTTTATTGCTGCCTTGCATGTTAACCTTTTTTTTTTGCATTTCCTGCTTTAAGTTTTCCGAGATTTTTAAATCCAAGAAGGCTGTACAAAGATTCCTCCCCGCTTTCCCACTGTGTGGGTTTGCTCCAAGTGTCTGTTGGAAACTCGTAACCTGTCTCTTTTTGTTGTTGTTGCTGTTTTATTTTTTTTTTTCATAGGATAAGTGCTCACAGAGAAAGTGAGCACTGCCTATGTTGCCTCGTTTATGCGAATGAAATGTTTTCGGGAACTTTTTTTCATTTTCCTCTAATGTGCCACGACTCCAGCAAACTGTTACGCAATTACGTGCATCGCACGGTCATTGTATTGGCTTGGCTCAGGCCATTGCCCTGCCCGAATGTGATCGGCTGTTGCCAGCAGCCTCTTGGCTTTCGACAAGTCTTGCAGTGGTTCAGTAGGCGCCAATCCGCTGCAGCCGGGACTTGTCACAAGCACCGTTTTTGGGCCTTGTTCGGCCGTGCCTTTACATTGGGTTCCAACATGGACATGTTTCAACAGCGATGAAGCTTGCTTTACAGCCTGTAAATGGGAAATGTCTCTGTGTCGCTGGAAAAATGTGTACTATGTAACGCTGAATCTTTTTGCCGAGCTTTGCAGCGCTTACGTGTAGTTTTTTGGGGGCCGAATGTGCAGTGGCTTCTTTTTTGGTTGCTCTTAAGGCTATAGAGTGGCTGAGAAGCACGCAAAGCAGTTGTTGGGAGAGATCATTGACATAATATTGGTCATGTGAGCATTGTGTACATAATCGGAAAAGAGGCCCTTGTGTACCCCGGATGCTCCTCCTGGTTTGGATTAATGATTGCCCATCAAGTTTTTTAATTTTTTTCATTGTTTCATGTCCCATGATAACAAGCTTAATGAGATGGGCTTGCAAATTCAGTCAGGCATTCTGTTAGTCAAAGATTTGTGGCACCCTTTTGCTTACGATTCCTTGTTGAAGCGTAACTTGCTTGATTTTTTGTTCGTGTGAGCATTTCACTTTTTTTTTTTTCTTTTGTCTAAGTGAGCTGACACCACCTGTCTGAAAGGTATTAAAAAAGATGGCACTGCTCCATGCCGTGCAGGGTCGAACCCACAGTCAGTTTATTCAGGTTTTTGTTAAAATATACTTTTTACTTGGACCGTTGATGCGTCATGTAACTAAATACGTTGCTGTGGAGCTGCCTCGCTTTTCATGCAGCCTGATGGCATCTGTATAGTAAAATTGTCTGTAGTTTGAACACCTTGTTTGAAAAATAAAGCGGATGTGACAACATAATAGTAAAACCTTTCTCTGAAGCAGTCATTTCGTTGATCAAGACAAAGCAGTTGAAAGCAATACTAATCAGCAAACTGATTTTTCACGCATTAGTAAAGTACAATGTCCCAATTCAAAAAAACATTTCTTGCCGCGACACAAATTTGTAAGCAAGAAAACACGAAGAAAATACGGGCGTAGGCATCACCCTATGGTTCTCTCTTCATACACTGTAATGTCATAGTTTTTGTAGGTGTCTACTGGGCCCAACAAAGCTTCTAATCGATATTTAAGTATAGGGTCATCTGTGGGTTCCATAGACCTAGCATACGAGTTTTCAGAAAATTTTATCGTGCCAAAGGCACGAGAATGCGTAAAATACAGTTTGAAATTCCTTGCGTTATGTGCGGATATTTCAGTGTTAAATTCTAAAAGGAAGCATTGACCTTGGTTTTCTCTGCTAATAATGAACTTATGATGGTGAAAAATATGGCATTAGAGTTCTCAGAGGGTAGTTCGTCACTCTAAACCACGTCATTGTTTTGCCTGTGTAACACTGTCCCTCCACCCGCACCGCTCCTCTCGCCGCAGGTGTTGGAGTGGTGCCAAGTAGCTCACGCCCTCCTAGCAGTATCTGTTATCGGATGTACCTACGTATCTGTTTCCGCTAGTTTACCAGCGTGCAGCCGGCAGTGACCACTGTCAAAAGTGGGGGGTTCCGCCCTCAGAATTTTCTCTGTGGAGGTGCTAGCGCCCCCTCTCCCCGGCAGATGCGATTATGGTTGCTCCTACACTAGCTTGACCGAGCGACTTTTATAAGTCACTCGCCACGGAGGAGCGTGTCCTCTTCCCAGCACGCTAGTTTTTCTTCTTTTTTTTTCCTCCTCCTGGACTTCACCGTCCCCCCCCCCTTTTTTTTAGCTATACTTTCTTCACTCTAACAACTGTCCCTTCATTCCCCGTTCCCCCGTGAGTGTATCGGCAGAGGTGTATGAGGTGTATCACATGAAAGACGGTTGTCGTGCACTCCACACCCCGTTTCCTTACCTTTCCGCCTATTTCTAAAGAATCACCCCAACCCCACGCCATACCGTCCGCTTCCGGTCCTTGTTCACCTTTCATGGAACGTCTGACTGCATCGACGTGGCAGGCACCTGGGAACACAGTGCAACAACGCACAGCAGCGCGCACCGAAGGCAGAAAATGGGAGGGATCATGACGTCCGTGCCGTTTGTAATCGAAACAAGAAGGCACACGAAGGCGCCCTAAGGTCTTCAAGGTTCGCGCGCACAATTTCGGGCAATCACGCGGTGCGAATGTCCGCGCTTGGCTACACGCGGCGGCGCGTGGTTGCCGTGAAGCTTACGTTCGTATCATACCTCGCGGGTTGAAAATCGGTTCGCAACAGCCGTAACACATTACAGTGCAGGGTGATGGGCCTTGGCTGGGACCACAGGAAAATTAATCATCATCATCATCAGCCTGACTACGTCCACTGCAGGAGAAAGGCCTCTCCCATGTTCCGCCAGTTAACCCGGTCCTGTGCTTGCTGCTGCCAATTTATACCCGCAAACTTCTTAATCTCATCTGTCCACCTAACCTTCTGTCTCCCCCTAACCCGCTTCCCTTCTCTGGGAATCCAGTTAGTTACCCTTAATGACCAGCGGTTATCCTGTCTACGTGCTACATGCCCGGCCCATGTCCACTTCCTCTTCTTGATTTCAACTACGATATCCTTAGCCCCCGTTTGTCCCCTAATCCACTCTGCTCTCTTCTTGTCTCTTAAGGTTACACCTACCATTTTTCTTTCCATTGCTCGCTGCGTCGTCCTCAATTTAAGCTGAACCCTTTTTGTAAGTCTCCAGGTTTCTGCTCCGTAGCTAAGTACCGGCAAGATACAGCTGTTATATACCTTCCTCCTGAGGGATAGTGGAAATCTACCTGTCATAATTTGAGAGTGCTTGCCGAAAGTGCTTGCCGAAAATTCGTATCACCCCAATTTCGGTAGGAACCGTGATCGAATCACCGAGGTTCCGCCGTAGCTCGTTGTGGCGCGTTGGTGTTGCTTGAGTGCAGTCAGGATTTCGCGTTATTTTGTTAATGAGTGTAACACCTGCTGGATAAACAAAATTTGTAGATAAAAAAATGGCAGGTCCCACGCCTTGTGAGAACCAGTTTCATGCGAAGAAATCAGCCATTAAGCAGTTTTCAGCTGCATTTTTTTCCTTGTTGTTGTCTATGAGCCAAGCGTTGCTATGTGGAGCCACATGTTTTGTGCACACTGGGCAGTTATAGTTTAGCGTTAGCGTCATAGCGTAGGTTAAGGGAATTGCGTTACCGTGCAGCAAACGTTCGTTTTGGGCAGCGTCTTATAGTTTAGCGGGATAGCGTTTACGTGCCCCAGCTAGAATGGTGGCGCCACCTATTAGATGATCAATAAGTTAATTAGTAAAAATGAAAAGAAAACGAGAATGTTTGCCTATGCCACCGCGCGAAGCATTGTTAGAAGTTTATTTTAGTGATAATAAAAGTCAATAAGTATGAACCACGCACCAAACGCGAGAACATCTACGGTGCCGATTTGTTTACATCGATCTTGTAGTTAGGCTTAGGCGCGTTCGAAATGAGAAGCTATCTCAAAAACTACGCCAACTTATTCGTAATACTCGGTCATCGAAGCTAACTGAAGGCAAGCGAAGCCACTCTGAACAGTCGTTTGCGGCGGACGAGGGGAATCTGTCAAGAACTACGCCAAAATTACTTCGAAGCGGGCGTCCGAGAGCGCCGCCATGTTTACGTACACTACGTACACGTATACGCTACCGCGGTAACGTGAAATCTGAAAAATACCACGTGTACGAGAAGCGGTACAGGTGACGTACTTATCTGCGCATGCGCACTTCGATTCCGGTATCACGGTACACCCGGTAAACCCGCTATACTATAACTCTCTATTGTGGGCCTGCCCGGCACGACTGACTGCTGATGGATCGGCACTACCGCATGTCACTGCCACTGCGCACTTCGTAGGCGCACACCTTTCAGAGGCTATAAAAAGCCTCGCTGTCAAGAAACGCTGTTCACTGTGTACGCTCTTATCTGTACCGTGCGCTTCAATGACGACGAAGCGTTCAAACCGTTAGTTGCACTGCGACCATGGCTGTGCACGCAGCGCAAGCGGATTTTGATGAGGAGGCTTACCGGCTGCGCTGCTTAGAAGCATACTTTGAAATTCACGACGTTACGGAGGGAAAGAAGCGATGGGGGATTCTTGTCACGGCGTCGAGCGCGAAGACAGTGGTCTTATTTACTGCACGTGGCGTGCCGGCGAAGATACAGGACCTTAAATACGATGACGCTGTGAAGTTCCTGGGTGAGCGATTTGCTCCGGCGTGCAACGAAATCGCAGAATCGTGCAAAGTTCTGCGCAAGGGATTGCAGCAGAGTCGGCAAATGAATTTTTAGTGTAAATACGCCATATTGCAAGCAGGTGTGATTGCGGTAACGCCCTGGACTGGAGGCTGAGGAACCGCAATGTTTGCGGGCTGCGCAACGCGAGTGTTGGTCGGCAATTGTTGGCCAAGACGGAACTCGCGCTGAGGGAGGCGGAAGAGGCACCGCGGGCTGCAGAGATGGCAGCGGCAACTGTTAAACACATGGCCAGCGCGCATAACACGAACAGTGTGCACGCAATGATGATGAAGCGCGAGGACCAATAAATCAAGGCTTTCTGTCTAAGCCCTCAAAAATGTGGCTGTTTTGTGCGACGAAATAACGAGGGATGGGGTCAAGTGGGGCGCAACCAGGCTTCCACCGAGAGTTGGTGAGCAGGGAAGACCGGCACGAAGCGACGTGCACACGCATGCGGCTAAAGTGGTCATGCAGCGGGAAAATGCAAGTTCCGCCGTGTTAAATGCTTCACGTGTAAGAGGCAAGGGCGCCCTAGCCCGTGTGGGCCAGCAGCATTAGTGTCGGCAAAAGAAGCTATTTCGATGTTAAGGACAATGGTCATGGTAGTAGTGACGACTGCGAACAAGTTCTGCTCAACTCGCAAGTGGCGTTGGTGAACGCGGTCCAACCAACATTCCGCACTATGGAATGGGATGGCGCGCCTCTCCGAATGCAAGCAGACAGAGGTGCCCCCCGTAACAATCATCACGTGACTCACACCAAATACCGTCACCTTAAGCCTCGGCTCCAGAAGACCACCTTGCAACTCCTCGTTTAACTTACCGTCAATTGTCAACTCCACGTCTGGGTAACATACGGCGGGATCACGCTGGAAGACGCCTTGACAGTGCTGGGATGCTATGGACCAGTTGGGCGAGGACAGGAAGTCGTCAAACCCTTCAAACAGCGCTAAAGACAGGTTCTCGCCGTTGGAATCAAGGCTGTCCCCGGTAAGCCAACCTCTATTAAGGAAGTGGAGCAGTTATATTAGACTAGTTTGAAGACTTGTTCTCTGAAGAGGTAAGGGCCCACCCGTTGAGTTACGCTTGCGCGTTGAGTTACCTTATTTGTTTAAGGCGCGCGTTCAGTGCCTTAGATAGACTGTCTCGTTCAGATAGGAATATTGGACACAGTTCCTTGCGCTCACTAGGCAACGCCTCTTGTTCTGGTAGTAAAGAATAACATTTAAGCAGCACATTTTCTTGCTACACCAACGTTAACGAATATGGCAAAACATACTTCATTTCCATGGGCGTAAAATATGAAATGTCGCTGAAGCAACACGTACAATCGATGTTTCTCACGTACACACAAAATAACTCCAACTAAAAATTGTATTGGATTCAGGATACTGCTTGAAGATTTCGGATAGGAGTTTGTTCAACCTAGTTTGGGTTTGTGGGTTTGGATCCTTCTTGACCTTGGTGTATGCCTCCCCACCCAGGAGCTCTTCTGCTTTCTTCTCGTAGTCTGCGCAATCCATGACGACCGCGATGTTTTCTTTATTGGTAGGGAGGATTACGATGTCCCTGTCGTTGTTTGAATCTTTGAGAGCCTTCAGCTCGTCGTTAGGGAGATTGTTGCCTTGACGATCCGGTATGTTCGATAGAGTTCTGTATTACCTTGAGCCTTGTCTCCTGACGGGCGCCAATTTCAAGGTGTTATATCCCGTCCGTGACTGCTGTGGCTATTTGGGAGATAGGAGAACTGGTTGAGATGTTTGAAACCATGTCCCTTGGCTAGGGCGCCTAATTCCGGAGTTGAGAGATTACAGGGATGAGAAGTTCGTCAAAAAGGTGCTTGGGGGTATCGTCGGCGCGTTGTGGTGGTGAACTATGCGGTGGAGCTTCTTGTCTTGGGTTACCTTGTGTTTTTGACCTCGGTGGCAGCGGAAGCAAGCCTACATGCAAATCGTCTACATGTATTGTGATGTCTACACCACGCGCGGTAACTGTCTCTTGAGATTAATGATTGCAAGATTGAAAGACGAAGGGCTAAACACACTACCCTGTAGTACACCTTTCTTGGTAGCGTATAGTGTGTATTATAGCCTCCTGTGGTGTTCTTGAACAGTTGTTGCCCTTGCAAATAGTCCGTAATCAATGTGTGCAATCTTCCCCCAAAACTGATTACAGCCAAAGTTTCAAGTTCTGTATTGCGTGACACAGAGTCGTATGCTGCCTTGGCTTACTGTTTCTATTCCCATTGGAAGCATTTCCCGCAGTGACCATATACAGAGACGCTGTTTTCATCTATCCTCATTCGCTCCTCTAGAGTCTCAGAAAGCCTAATTTAATGTTATTGTCGGATACAATTTAAGAAGTCTGGAGCGACCCAACCCAGAAGACCGAAGCACGGCAGCCGATTGCCACCGCGTTGAAACAAATATTAGATAGTTTTAGCAAGTTACGGAAATTTTATACTCATATACGCTAATACGCTACGAAAATACGCTGTCGTAGGATGGCACAGCTCCTTATTTCGCTGTCCCTTTTCTAGTGAAACCGCCTCCACAGCACAAAAGCTTTTTGAAAAGTTCCTGTGGGGTTCTCACAAAATATTAGACTTTCAGCAAATTACGGACATACGCTATTCAGATAAGCTAATACGGCACGCAAATACGCTTCCGTATGTAGGTACCGCTCCTTCTTTTTCCGTCCTTTTTCCAGTGAGGTCGTCTCAACACCGCAAAAGTTTTTTTTTATCAGAAGCTCCTGAAGGTTTTCCACAAAATATTAGAGAGATTTAGCAAGTTACGCAAATATGGTACACATATACGCTAATACGGTATGGAAATACGCTACCATATGCATATAACGGTACGGCTCCTTCTTTCCCGTTTCTTTTGTCAGCAAAGCCAACTAAACTCTACAAAAACGTTTTTAAATATGTTACTGCGAGGTTCTCACGCCACATTGTTGCCTGTCATCTTACGCATTGTTAACGAGACGCCTGTCGTTAATTCCGGGGGTGCACTGTCACTGGAACGGATGAGCGCTACCGTACTGTCCCTATACAGTGTATTGAATTCTGTATTTCCGTAACTTGCTATCTATCCTCGTATAAGAACTCAATGTCCTCCAGAGGAGGGGTTACTCACCGCCCGGCTCATGGCTCCAGTTTGTATGCGCACCCATTGGGGCAGAGTTGCGCGCATGGTCGTTGGTAGGGCAGTGCAGTTACTGTAGTGGGGGTGTCCTCCTCAAGCCGCACCAGCACTTGTCCCCAACCAGGATCGAGGAATAAAGTCACGGGTGTAGATAGACGTCCATCAATGCGAATGAAGAGTATCTAAAGTTAATTGAGAGTGTTTTGACGAGCATACGCTGTCGCCTGTGTAGATAGACGTCCATCAATGCGAATGAAGAGTATCTAAAGTGAATCAAGAGTGCTTTGACGAGCATACGCTGTCGCCTGTGAAATATGAGTGGATGAAGAAAATTAAGAATAATATACTTTATTCATCATTGTTTTGGTTGCAATAAGTGCGAACTTACAGACGCATACGTGAACACACACACGGAAAACACTCGTGTTTTCTGTCAGGCGTACAAAAAAAAAAAAACAATCTGGCCAAGGACAGAAAAGAGAAGTCATTCGCTGTATAAATACATTCTTCGCACACCACATAAATAAAACGCGAAATTTTTTTCCTCTACAATCGCACAAAAAAGGACTACATAAAAATGCTAAGAATTAAATTATGTGACCTAAATGGAAGAAAAAAAAAAGCCGTGAATGTGTTGTCTCGCAAAGACTAAGCGAAGTTGCAGCATAAGCCGTAACTTCGAGTGGTAAAAGATAGAGAAGAATCCATGAGAAAATGTTAACTAAAAGCCAAAAGCAAAAAAAGCTGTGCCGCAGATTTGTTCCCAAAACCGGCTTCGGGTTCAAACAAAATAAAGCGCATATAAAAGTAAAAATGTTCTAAAATGTGCGAAGTTCGTGCGTAGAGTCACTGACCAAGTGTAATGGCCCCCTGAACTGAAAATCGTACCACATTTTCTAAAGCTTGGACCTTTTCACTGTTTACAGATCCTGATGACATCCGGATGTGTTTACCGATGTGCCCTAATTAGCACCGGTGGGCAAGAAGAGCTTAGGAAAATAGCCCGCTCATTTTCTACAGTTTTCTTCCCTTAATTGGTAAAATATATTCAAACATATCTTCTTTTGAGTTATGTTCAAATTATGACAGCTTTCCGTGAACATTACGCACGTTTCTTTTATCTTAAAAACTAAGTGAGACTTTCCTTACTTCGCAAAATAAAAAAAAAACAACTTGAAAGACGTGCTATCAGTTTTGACGTTAGGAGCTGGTAAATGAAGTGACCGGAAAAGTCTTTTGGGGCACGACGCTTGCAATGTCGAAACTGACGTGTTTTGCAGGACGCTTAAACTATGAGCAAAGTGGATTGCGGAATTTCCATGAGACATGATTAAGCTACAAAAATATGAAAAAAAAGTATTGCCGTAGACAAAACAAGAATTGAAAAAATATGACCTATTGGCTAAAGATTCGACTCTCCCTCACTAGAAGAAATCGCGTAACAAACATGTAAAAAGTAATGGAGTGCTGAATTCGGACATCACAATATTTGAAAAGGACTAGAGCATGAAGAAACAAGGTGTACTTATAGTATTCGCGTGAGGCGATCTCGAAGGATTGCGAACGAGGTTGATTCGAAAAGAACTGTACTTCAAAAAGTAATGAAAAAGACAAATAAGAAGTAATGGCAAGGAATATGTCACTCTCTCCGTCTGCTACTGCTATTGGTCCCTGCGACATCCGACGTCACCGTTTGCCAGGACCAATCAAAGAAAGTATGTCGCGAAAACAAGTGTTTCAACCTATCTCTTCATGACAGGGGGCTGGTGGATAGATGAATTAAGAGGCGATAAGGGGAGACTTGGGAGCGCGGCACACTGGTCCTCGGCAGAGATGTCTGCGCGCGGACGAAACGGAGGATTCACGCGGAAAGGTTCCATCACGCGAGTCGCTCTAGGAAGAGTGCCATACGCGGAAAGTAGGAGCTCGCATCGCGGTTCTCGAGGAAACGGCAGAGAAAGAAAGACGCCTGGCGACAACGGTGTGTAGAAAAGGGCCATTGCGAAAAAAAAGAAAAAAAAAAACTATTGCGATACAAGTTTCATCGTCGCCTCTTCCTCTCGGCTCACCGCCTTAGCTTTCATACCGGGAGATCTAGTTACGAGCGGGCACAACACATTTTTTTCCAGATCGAGATAAATGCGTGGGCTGCCGTGGCCTATGGCGGAGGTCGCTTGCGGCAGAGAGCGTTTGCAGCCATCGTGTCGTGTGTGTGCGTGTGGCGTAGTGTGCACGTGCATGGCTTGGTTTTTTTTTTTCTTGCTGGGTGTCTTGTGCGCGTGCGTGTGTACACGTGTGCGTGGGTCCCTGCGGGGAGTCTCTTGTTTTTCTATCCCGTCCGGGTCGTCACGTACAATGTCTTCGGGTCATCGAGGCCGAAAACGAGAAACCGAGGTTGTTGCTGAGGCGAAAAAAAAAAAAATTCTACGCCCTGCATTTTGTTGTCTGCAAAACCTGTCCTCTCAGTTATCAGTATTTTTTCCCCTCTTGTACCATAGTTTGCACTCGTGTTTTTTTAATTGGAATAAGACTTGGGAAGAGCCTGGGAAAGCACCGGCTTCGCTGGCAGGAGCGCGGTTGTCGAGGAGTGATCAACATCGGAGTTTCCGCTCGCTCTTCAGTTTGCAACTTGTTTGTTCAACGCCTCAGTGCTCACATTACGCTGAAGACGCGAACCGTTTCATGCGATATGACCTCGTCTCAGGACTTTAGTTGTGATTAGGAAGAGATTCATGAGACCGGAATGGCTCATGTGGAGCAGTTGACGCCGACTAATATCTTATTACGCAGTGTCGGTACGTCTCAACTTTGACGAGCTTAACACTCATTCAGTTCACTGCTTTCTGTTGAGATTCGCGTTTACGATCTGGATATCATAAGAAGAATGGAACGCTGCGAGAATCTGTCGTCTTGCTTTTGGAAAAAGTCAAGTCCACGGCTTATGTACTTTCTTTGCCATTGAATGCCCCTTTGCATAGCCGTCAGAAAGTAAAAAAAAGGGTGTGGGGGGGGGGGGGGGAGTGCTGACTAAGTAACAGCCCTGTTCGCCTCTTTAGCGCATTCTGCTAGGCCACACTCCACGAACCAGATTATGATTCATCTCACGTGTACGTTATTGCAGCCTAACCTCGCGAATGTTTGTTACCTGCAGAGAGCACATCTTCAGAATCTCCGCTAAATACTGCTGCGTCGGTGGGCACTCCGAAAAGCAGTCTATCGTAAGCTTAGCACTCAAGAAAAATAGAGAGCGCCACTTCGTCGAAGCACGAGTCCAGAGTCTCTGTTTCGGAAAGGAATGCAGTCTTTTTTTTACTTTTTAACCTAAAACACATTTTGCACCGCACACCTGGTCACGCACATTCGCACGCTTCGACCACCATGTTGGGCAGGCTCTTCTGCTTGAGCACCTGGTCTTCGTCGATGAAGATGAGCGATATGGAGGAGAGACGCGACGGCGTGCAGCAGAGGCTTAGCTTGAGCGTGTCGTTGACCGCTCCAGCCGCCGCGCTGTGCAGGAACCTCTGTAGCACCGTGGTGTGGTGGTACTTGTTGACACTGATGTCGTGTATGCATGAGCCACGGCAAAAGTTTGCTGAGTAGCCGGCCGGCTGGATGATCCAGCTGTCCCAGCCGATCTCCTTGAAGGACACGTAGAATGACTCGCGGCAGCAGCGCGATATGGACGAGCTGCAGTCCACGCTGCGCCTGGAGCGCGAGTGCGGGGATGGCGCGTTCGGGTCGGTGCGCACCACCAGGAAGGGCTGCTTGTCACCGCTCGAACCGACGGGCGTCCCCGAAGGCAGAGAGTTCCTCAGGTTGCCGCACGTCTTGCAGCTGATTTCCAGGACCCGGGGACGGTTGCTGCGACGTCGGGCCCACCGCTCGACGAGGCTCGTCAGGTCGAACCTCAGCCACTCGGGTCTCGGAGAACTGCTCTCGAAGGCGATGACGCTCTTGGTCAGCATCGTTTGATGTCGGTGGTGATGCCGGTTGCTGCGGTGCGAGTCGGACTGGGATAGCTCGGACACGACGAATGTGTGGTTGACGGCCGACGTGGACGAAGACGGGTCCAGGTCCTTGAAGACCCAGAGCTCGGCGTGCGCCACGCTGCGGCTCGTCAGCTCATTGCTCAGCTGGAATACGAAGCAGCTGCCCAGGTGCGGACTCCTTGTGACGCACTCGTTGGAATCTGCGAGGACAAAATAAACAAGATTCAGTCAGTGACGGAAAAAAAGAGCCGCCCGCATCTTCCCACGGGCGGAAACACGAGTAAATGCGTCGCAGAGTGGTGGTGAATAACATTTATAAATATATTTGGAAGTGAGAAGCATAGATAAGGCGAGTGTGAAGGGCCCGCCTTTCACAAACACTAGCAGGGATCCCTAGTCCGGTATCCCTGCAGCTGCCGCAGCGGCTCGGGCTCTAGCCACCAATGCCAGTTGAACTTGGAGGTCAGAGCAGCGGAGCACGACAGCTTCCCAGTTCTCTCTTGTGGGGTGGGGGTGGGGGGGGGGGGTAGGCGGGATTTGAGGGCCATGCCCACACCATGTGATAGGTGTCACAAGACTATCGCGTAATTGGGTATGGTTTTAGAATGGTTGGTTGTTGTTTAGTCTTTATTATTCTCATTTACTGAATGAAGGAGAAGCGTTGCCTCCAGTGAGTGGTGGGATGCTGATGTGCGATACAGTGCCTACATATGCGGGGTGGCCAGTGAACGGTTGGGCCGCGTGAGCAGTCGGTTTTTACTAGCAGACGCTGCCTGCGTTGGCCTTGCGAGGCGAGAGAGGGGGGAGGGGCGACAGTTGGCACGAGACGCGAGCATGTGGAGTGGTGTCGCGACCGTCGCCGCTGAATTAGCGAGTAAGTGAAACGGGGGATTAAAGAAAAACTGCTGGAGTAGAAGCTCCCGCAATGCCTTGCCAGCAGAAGTGAATCCAGCTTTTGCCACTGCCAAGATGGCGGAAACATGCTCTTTTCCGATAGTGCCCACTTAAACATCAAGTGGCTTTAATAAGTTATGTAAATGCTACGTTAGTTCTATATTAAAAGATAGTTGTTTCCGACGAAATAACACACAGAAACGAGTATGGATGACTGAATCTTCAAAGAACTTTGCCTGCAATTAGAGGCTCAATAAAAGAAACCAGTAACTATAAGACGCACTTGGAGCACTATGTGACCCGAAAAAGTTCCCACATTAAACTCGTTGGGCGTTCGAGGGAAACGCTTCGTTTTTAATCGCTGAACGGTGGTACCTTATCATGCCCCTAGTAAGATGGCCGCCACAGCCACCATCTTGCCAGAGGAACGGCTTCACTTCTGCGCAATCATTTCAACTCCAGCATTTTTATTTAAATCCTCCTTGGACTATACAATGGTCCGCATTTAAAACCCAATTTTTGAATATGGATGGTATGTTTGCATGAGCAGAGTTGTAAGAGCATGTGTTTTTGCATGATCATCGGTCACTCATAAAGGTCGATGTTAGGCGAATCGCACTTTGGTGAGCGAGCTATACCTTGTGCATATTTTGTTGGGTTACGTTTCTAGGTTTCAGCTTAGCTGTGTTTAGAAACAAAATTATTCCGTTGTGGTACGGAACGATTTATAGGACGCATACACAGACGTCAAGGACAACAATAAACACACACATACGACTGAGGACAATGTAGATGAAACGTTAAGAAATCCAGTTTCATAAGAACTTCGTAACACGTGCTAAAACGCACCCAGACACTCAAGGGTACAGCTCACTGAACGACTTATCCAACCGCACTAACATTGTGTCAGGCGCTGCCTGCTACATACAGGACCATCGTGCACGCACTGGTATCTGGGATTTCAAACAATTCAAGTCTCAAAAAAAAAAAAAGGCGAATGGCGATCGCCATATTTCGTACCGAGAGCGCCAAAAGGTTTATAACGTTAGCTTAACACGTCATTTAGTATTTAAAGACGCGGGATCAAATCCCGGCTGCGGCGGCTGCATTTCCGGTGGAGGCGGAAATGTTGTAGGCCGGTGTGCTCAGATTTGGGTGCACGTTAGAGAACCCCAGGAGGTCAAAATTTCTGGAGCCCTCCACTATGGCGTCTCTCATAATCATATGGTGGTTTTGGAACGTTAAACCCTACATATCAATCATCATTAGCATTTAAAGGCAATATAGCCTTGTTTTATTTGTTCCTGAATATCTGTGCTGATTCCCTTGCTTCGCAGCACGCTTTCTATACAAGGTGACGTGCTCTTTGAGACGAGTGTGCCACGGAAAATCCGCAGAAGATCTTTTCAAGATTGTGATATGCTTCAGACACATGGTTCGTAGGGTGCGATATATAGTTGAGATATCATTCACGGTCTAGAAACGTACAAGTGTTGCCCGGCGTTTAAAGGCACGCGTTGTAGGAAGGGGTGAGGGGGTACAAAACTTACCATCGCTAAGAAAATGTACTTTGTTTTGTACATTATTTCCATTCGTGGCGGACTGTCTTACGTGGAAGAGAGGCTGACGAACCGTTTTAAAACTGAGTCAGTGCACCAACAAAACGCATTTGAAACATGCCCGCAGACCTGCTGCGGTGGCTTAGTGGCTAAACTGTTGCGCTAGCTGCTAAGCACGAAAACAACCACTTGATTCCGGCTGATGGTGTCCATATTCGGAAGTGAAAGAAGTGCCAACAGCGCCCGTGTACTTAATTTTAGGTGGGCCTTCAACAGTACCAAGTATACCCAAGTGGTGCCTCATACCATATCGTGCCAATAACGTGCCTCAAACGTATGACCGTTTCTTAAAACTCCCGATTAAATTTTTGTTCGCATATTCCATGAAAGACGTGTTGTGTAAGTACCATGACAATCGTGTTGTACGTGTTCTATTAGTACTGTGTTGTACGTGTATTATAAGTACTGCGACGATTGATGTATGTTCGGAGAAATAAAAAAAAAATTCCCCCGTTATCTGCGCACGGTCTAGAGGTGTAATGTGTGGCCAGCCTTGATATTCGGATGACATGCGTTTTGTTTCTTGCCACAAAGATGTATCAGATACTCTGTGATTAGTCGCGCGATGCTCGTATGGGAATATTGCTATACCAAAGAAAAAAAATAACAGTTATCATCTTGGCATGCTTTACTTCAACTTTGAGACGGCATGCTGTAAAAGAAATAATAAATGTGTGGACTTGCAGCATTCATGCATCGACCTTCCAGTCGCTTTTCAACCACTTAAAATGCTTTAATAACATCCCATCAAGAACGTAAGCGGTCGGGAAAGAAATCAGCCTGCCAGGGGACTTAGCTCTTTTTGTAAGCGTGGCAGCAATGGCGAATCATTATCAATCATAAAAAAAAAGTGTTTACCTATCGGAACGCAGCTTACCAAGAGAGAGGCGATGCCCACGTTTGCCACGAGTGGCGACCTTGAATGCATAAATAATGCGCTCGTTCGCGCAGTCAGAACGACGTTTGAAGGTTGCCCTGACACGTTAGTCTGATTGTGAACGCACGTATTCATTTCATTTATAGCACAGCAGGCCTCTCCGAACCGGCTGGTGTTGCAGGCATCTAGTCAAGAAGTACGCGATCTTCTCATTGATGTTGATGATTGATGTGCAAGGTTTAACGTCCCAAAACCACCATATGATTATGAGAGACGCTGTAGTGGAGGGCTCGGGAAATTTTGACCACCTGTGGTTCTTTAACATGCACTCAAATCTGAGCACACGGGCCTACAACATTTCCGCCTCCATCGGAAATGCAGCCGCTGAAGCCGGGATTCGAACCCGCGACCTGCGGTTCAGCAGCCGAGTACCTCAGCCACTAAGACCACCACGGCGGGGCTACGCAATCTTTTCGGCACGTCTGTCATGGCACATCGTTTTAGTGACAGGATCGGGGTGAGAATGGTTTAATAGTCACCCCAGAAGCGTGTGATAGTTGTCATCTTCCAGAAACGTCCTTCGCATTCATTTTAGCTATTCAGGAACGGCGCCAAGCGAAAGTATAGATTCGCGTGTGACTTGAGAGTCAAGTGTGCTTACGTACTAGGCAACGCTCTTCTAAAGCGCCCGCACATAAGGACACACAGATATCCGCTCAGCCGCGTGCAAATGCATAGGAATGTTACTAGACACACAGACACGCACTCAGGCATGTACATACACTCACATAGGCTACTGACATGCCGAGTGTGCTAGCTGGAGATCCTTCGATTGTACTGTGCGAGGTCAGTGCATGTTAAGAACATTAGATATCCGCAATTTCCGAAGCCATCCACTATGGCATTCCTCAAATCATGTCGCGGTTTTGAGACGCAAATCACGTGTATATTATTATTATTATTATTATTATTATTATTATTATTATTATTATTATTATTATTATTATTATTATTATTATTATTATTATTATTATTATTATTATTCTATTTTAGTTACATGTTGGTGAGGGATGTTCTGGGAGAAGGTAGATACTGGTTTTAGCTGCAGTTGTATGTAGTAAACATGGCGAGGTAAACGATCGCAGCTACTGCTCGCATACGGCCACCTTTCGTACACTGTTGAACGACGTTTGCTACTGTCGCTAAGCGGCCGCTCCAACGTGACCTGCCGCAAGGGGCACATATTTATGGTGTTTTGCTCTTTTGACCATCCTTTTCCCCCGTCTCTCTTATCTGTAGCCGAGGAAAGCTGTAGCGAGCGAGCACTGCACGTTGTCCGATTGAAAAACAAAAAAGAAAAGCTAGAAAAACACAAAAAAAAAGAACATAGCAAAACGCTGCTGGGTAACACGAGATGTGTGTCCGGTGACTGCAGACAGGCTGCCCACGCCAATAGTAGCCTGTGCAAAAAAAAAATGAAAATAAAATAAAAGCCGTGGCGGCCGAAAGACAGCGAGGTGCAATGGGCTTGGCCAGCTTGTGCTGCACGTCGAATAACAGGGGTGACAACGGCGGTTCGTTCGTGCTTTAGTCGGCGTATTAATTGCCACCTCTGCACGGCAGCTGGAGAAGCCGTGTACACGCGAGGCTTCTGCGCGGCGGCGACCTCGTTAGCACCGGCGGCGTGCACTACGGGCGAACGCAGACTGTCCTCCCGTAGGGGCTGAGCGATTGCCTTCGAGTGAAGGGTGTTTCGGGCGGGTGTCGCGTGCACGTGTACTCTTGCATGGCTAACGGGGTTATCTCTTTC